ACATATAAGATTTGCCTGTGGCATATAGAAGTAGTCAACTGCTAGAAGTAGTCAAGTGAATTCCTCAATGAATCTCCAACTGCAGACCACAGACAAACACATACAGTATTTACTTCTGTATTTATAGGAATGGGGGCATACCCATTATCATCCATAGGTATGCTACAACATAATGCAAATAATTATAACTCCTCATCCAAGAAATTCAGATAGAAATTAGCTTTCATTTAAATTTTACAAGACTTACAGCCACATCACATTGAAACATATGATCACTGAAATTGAGCAATGTTGAGCCTGGTCAGTACTTAGATGGGTGACCACTTAGGAATATCAGATGCTGTAAGCTGTAAGCTTGGATATGCAGGTGGTCTGATAAATAATGGCTTGGAATTGCTAATTAGAGAGCTGTGTTCCAATTCCAGTTGGGTTCTTTATATTCACTTATGCACAAATACTGTTGGGCAAGATATGAATCCACCTCTTCTCTCCCCAGCTATGGGTTACTTAGTAAGACTTGTATCACCAAATCATTATTATTTCAAAAAGAAAAATTCTTAAAATCTAAAAATATTTTCTGGCTTTAAATAACCTGCAAAGGATTCATAAGCCATAGAAAATGAAATGATCAGTCACTTAAATTTTACAAGTATTTTGCTTAGTTATTTTCTTTGTGTTTCATTAATATCAATAAATAGAAAAGATCTTAACTGGTTCTTGTTCTAATTTTCAAATTCATAAAAAAATCACTTTTTCTGTTCATAACATAATAGATTGGTCAATAGTATTGTGTTTTTTTTTGGGGAGGAGTACTCAGCAAAAAGGTTTGCCATATGGTTGTTAGTGTTATGGTCAAGGTACTAGGAGAAAGTGTAGCAAAGAAAAAAGGCTAAGAGTATCATACATGTATTGCAGTTGCTGGAAATAGGCAAAAATGTCTGACTGACAGGTTTTGAGATGTTCTGGTGAAAAACAAGAAAAAACTTGAACTGAATATATAAGTTTCTAATCTCCTTAGAGTAACATGCTGCTAGCAAAAAATGAATTAGTTTAATCAATAACCATTGTATTGGTTACAAATACATGTTAAGTGAACTGTGGATACCTGACTAATTTAATCTGTAGTTTGCATTGTCAAGCTGTTATTAACATCCACAGAATCCTTTTCTTTATCATCTGTTAATTGCCATGACTTTGAAGTATTGAGGGAAAATGACGAGAAAACACACATGTTATATTTAATGAAACAAGATAAAGAATTTATTTACAAATTTATGCATTTGAAGTTGTCAGTAGATTGTTTTAGGAAAAGGAATCAAATATTTAAAGTTTGTAGTTTTGATAAATTGTCAAGAAGAGAAAATGCTCATATTCAATCATCAGACACAAAGTAATACTCTAAAATGTTTAAAACAAATTGAGAGAGTTCGTTTTTCACATAAAAGTTATACAGTTGTATTCAACATGAATGAAAGGATATATTTTAAAGTACTTGGCTTTGGAGTTGAATAGAGTTCTTTGAAATTACCCTGCTCTCATTAGAGACTTATAATATATCAGTGTGTAATTTGACACCAGCATTATTCCGATGCATGGAACTCTGGCTTTCTGCCTCTTGCTTCTTTCTGCCTTTTCTCTCTCTCTCTACCTTGATTCAACTTTTTCTGCCTATTTATATCAAAAAGCAATTTCACATCATCTTGTTACTTTTTTCTCAGTTTGTAAGCCACTCCCTTTCTCATTGGTTAAAATAAATTTTCACCTAAGCTTTTTTCTTCAGCCCAAAGCCAATCCCTTTTCTATTGGTCAAAATAAATTTTCGCATAGGCTCACAAATTTGAAAACAGTGTAGTAAAGAGAGTTTTTATTTTGTATTCACCACAACTTCCTAAGAAAGATAGTGGAATACTTTCCCATTTTTTTTTTTGTTAATAATTTAACCCTAAGCAAAGTGATAAAGTCACTAAGACACAAGGAATATCTGAATGTGAAAGAATCTGAGAAAAAACATTAAGGAGAGAGGCCAATAAAAGAACAGGTATCAAGGAGATAGAAAATGATGATTGATATTCCATTTAAATTTTTAAAGATCAAATTTGAAGCTGGAAGAGAAGAGAGTTCCACAAGCAAGAAGTGCAAGAGAAGAAACTTTTAGCATAGAACTTACAGTTACATTCTAGCAATTTCAAGTGTAAAATGATGAAACCTAGCTTTCAATCTAGTACTGTGCTTAAATTCATGAAACAGAGGTACAGAAGAGGAAAGTTCATCAGAACAATTGCCATGGAAATATTTATAGAAAAAGCATGAGGGCTATGTTATGATAGTGAGAAAGTGACTGAAGCCAAGATGCCATGTTAAGACCAATAACACTGCAGATTCTTTGTTGGATTTTGTCAAGAATCTCTAGATCCATAACAGAAGCAACAGACCAGACCAGCAATGTTCAATGCATGGATGAATAGTAAACTTCTAAAGGTGTAAGATAGATCCTGGCAAGGAAAATTGTCTAGAACAACACAGTGAACCCACTTTCCTAGCAGCACACCTAGCAATTAATTCAATATAATATTTCCACTTCATGTGAGTGGAAAATGTTAGTCTGAGAAGACACAATGAGTAACTTTCCTGGAGGTTACCATCAGCCATGCTGATGGAAAGCAAAAATGGTTCTCTTTGATTAAAAGAGAGCTTTCACCACGGTTTGAGATTCAGAGTTTCCTTCTCTTATATTGGCTGCCACTCAAGGCTAGAGAACCTAATCTACCCTGTTATTTAACCCATAGTTGGAAGGAGAAGAGATAGATTCATGCTTTTCATAAGGGCATTTGTGCAAAAATGAATGCAATAGATTAAGTGGGAATTTGAACTTTGCTTGTTGATTCCACTGTATGTGCTGATAACTGCTATGTTACTTACACATCCCATCATTAGGCTATAGATTTATTGATTTACCTCTATAATAATCAAAGTAATCCTAATCTATAAGACTTTAGTGAAATCAATATCTATACTTTATAATCTTCCCACACCAACCAAGCTTACCATCACATGTCTCCTAAAGTCAAGTAGTTCTTCCTATTCATGTTACATCAAGTCTTATCTGTAATTGATAAAAAATAGAATATTTTATCAGAAATTATAAATCATATGAGATTGATTTTCATATAAGGAATGGACACTATCTAAATATACTGGTCTGCACATAAAAAATAAGGAAAGATTTCCCAGGGAATAATTTTTGTGGATAAGCATTCATATGGCCTTCCCTAAACCACAGCATTTGTTAGATTAAAAACATATTGATTTTTTATCAATTTAGAAGGGGTCCTGTCAGGGATGGATTAACCATTAAGCAAAATAAGCAAAATAAGCAAAATAAGCAATGTGCTTAGGGCATCAAGGGAAGGGGGCACCACAGAAATTGTAATGATATGATATAGTTGTACACATCTAAAGAAATAAGTCTAACTCAATTAACATTTGAAACAACAGGGTTCCATTATGAAGGGGAGAGAGCTGACTTGCAGTGAATCTTTATTGACATTCTGATTGGTTAATAATGGAATGAGCTAAGGGAGATAATGAGGATTGTATTTACTCAATGTACAATTTAGTTAGTACTACTAATTAATGCTCAATAAGTTAGTACTACTAATTAACTTAATGGGATTTAATTTGGGAACAGAGGTAAACTACCTTCATGTTCATTTGGCATTATTCTAGCCATATTTTTATGCGATTCTGTAACATGCTAATTTATTGATGCCACAACCATTTCTGTTAGAATCTGGTGGTGGCTCATTTGACAGTGGCTGCACAGCTGTGATTGTTTCTCTCTTGGTTGGTGTTGTACCTGATGTTGGAACTGATGATCACTTTCTCTTGATGGTCGTATATGCCTTCGGTTCATTCTATATTATTTCCAGCTAGCGTTTCCATGATGCCCATTCACAGTTGATAGCCTTTATTTATTTGCACTACTTATCAAGATTCCATGCTAACATACTTAACTCACAGGTGTATGAGGGCCCCAAAATCTTTTAAGTGCTTAGGGTCTCTATGGGTCTTAATCCGGCCCTGGGTCCTGTCATATTGATAGAGTTTCAAATTAATCACTAACTTTTGCAGAGTTATCTGGACCTAGTTTTTTAGTGATATAACAAATGTCATGCCTTGAAAATGTGCTTATGTTATTGAAATCTGTGTTTGTTATGTAAATTTTTGTTCTTTAATTAAAAGTTTTTATATTTGTTTGTCCTTTAATGACAAGAAATCTTCATATAAAAAAAAACAATGACAAAATAATTGTGCTTGTTTAAAATGTTTTCTTAAAACATATAAAAATGATCTATCTTACATATTTATAAGTCTACCATTCACCCATGCTTAGAATATTGCTGCCATAGTCCAGTGCCCCTGCTATTTACTTGGGACTCCTTGATAAAATCCAAAGAAGAATATTATTGGTCATGATCTATCGACTTGGCTTCAGTCACTTTCCCGACACCATAAGATTGCCTCTCTGTGTCTTTTTTATAAATACATTTATGCTATTTGTTCGGATGATCTCCGCTATGGTACCTAGACTTTTTGAATTTAAGGGAAATACTAGACTAGTGTCAAGATTTACAGTTGAGCTGGCTAGATGTAACCATAAATTTTTATGCTAACAGTTTCTTTTCTCACACTTCTTGCTTGTGGAACTCCCTTCCAGCTTTATAGCCAACCACAAAAATTTAAATGCAATGTCAACTGCTATCTGCTGTCCTGATTACTCTTTTCTTTTCCCACTCATTATTGTTTCTGTTCCCAATTCTTCCACACCCTATAAACCCTTGTGTCATAGTGGCTGATTAAAAAAAAACTGTTCTTTATTTAAAAGAAATTTTTTGTAGTCTAAAAATAAAAGTCTGTTTTCATATCTAAGACAAAAGCACAATTCCAAGCTTACATTTGTAAACAAATAGTTAAGTTTCAATATTTCTGTGTGCTTTCAGCCATATCACATCATTGGATCAATGAAGTTAAGCAATGCTGAGCCTGGTCAGTACCTAGATGGGTGACCACATTGGAATACCAGGTGTTGTAAGCTTGGATATGCAGTTTATGTAAGGGATACAGTTTCCAATGAGAAATCAGAGAACTGAGTTTGAATTCTAGTCAGGTTCATTACATTCACTTACCCCAAAATACCCTTAAATCCACTTTTTCTTCCCCCAGTTAAGGGTTAAATAGTAGTTCTATCTGGAAATCATTATTATCTCCAAATAGTGTTAATAAAATATTGACTTAAAAAAGAAGAATTATTCTTACAAACACAAAATATGTTTTGACTTTAAATAACCTACAAAAGGTTGATAAGCTATAAAAAAACAAATCAATTAATCCAATAACTCTGTAAAAATCAGGGATTGATTTTATACTGTATCAATATTATGAACAGGACCCCCAACTTCTAAATTGATAAGATTTATTCTTACAATCCAAAAATATGTTTCAACGTTAAATAACCTACAAAAGGTTGATAAGCTGTAAAAAACAAATCAATTAATCCAATAATTCTGTAAAAAATCAGAGATTGGTTTTATACTGTAACAATATTATGAACAGAATCCTGTCTTCTGAACAAATAAAATATTTTAAAAATATGACAAGTGTCATATGGCTTAAAGAAGATCTAAAAATATTAATCTCCAAAAATTATTTCTCCCAAAAATGTCCCTATTTTTAAAGAGTTTAAGTAGTGCCGAAAAATAAAAAATAAAATGTCTGATGACTAGAAAAGTTAACATTGAAAGTCTTAAACTGGGAATGCCCTTTGTGTAGCTATTAATATCTCAAGTGATGATGATAAAATATGGAAAAAAAGGCTTGCCAAAATGTGAAGTGTTCTGCCCCCACAAGAAGAAGCACTTATGGATGAAAGTAATATTAACTCACATGTGATGGGTTTGATTTCCTTCCTTTAAAGATTTGTGAATAAATGCTTTGTTTGGGATGTTATTATTATGGATTTTATTTTTCATTTATTTAAAGCATAAAGTAATTCATGCTTATGACTCAAATTCATTTGTTAACTAAGAAGATATCAAATGTTCACTGGCTAATCCTATCTTTTCGGAACAGAGAAAAGAATAAAACTTGAAAATTAATTTTAATCCACTTACATGACTGTCACAAATGTGCACACAGCGTAACGTTATTAGCACAGAAAAGTGGGATTGGCATTTTGAGTTCAAATTCCAGTTGAGACTGGCACGTTCACTTTTGCACAAGTACTCTTATAAAGATATGAGTCTATCTCTTCTCACTAGCTAGTGGTTAAGAGTAAGGGCAGACTGGGGTTTCTAGGTTTGGCTGGCATCCAGTCTAGGAGAAGGACAAGATTGATTTTAACCTTTAGCTTTCTGCAATATTCATAAGTATCATACCCATTGGATATAAGTGGTCAGACAACTGCAGTAGCATCAGCTTCAATTTTCAGTTAGTCATTTTCCTATTGCCATAGTTGGATATGACAACACTAGTGCAAAATTAAACCACACTATTGTCTGATGCACAGAGTACAGTAGCTGTACAAACATTTTGTTTGACACATGAAACCACGTGCATACACAGTGCTAAAGGTTAAAAACATTTGGGTGTGAGTCTCACAACTCCATTCTATAAAAACCTACTGATTATGGAAAACCACCACAGTCACACCTAGTGTAGTGAAGCTGTGGCTTTATTCTCAACAGGGATGTCAGCAGGGTTAGTAACAACATGACTGTTACTTATTTTCAAAATAATCTTTTAATATAAATTAGTATGAATTGAAAGTATTTTTCTTTTTTAATCTTTCAGGAGCATTTTTACATTTTTAAAGTTTATGTAATGCCCTTACACATGGCCCAGACTCTTCTGAAAATTTACAGACCTTGACACCAAATTATTTTCATGAAGCTATAAAACCTGCAGGTTTTAGTGGAAATCATCCTTTGTCAAAACTTATTGACTAACACTACAGAATCACAAAGAACTGTACCAAACAACAGAATCCACATCATCTGAGGATTTTCAACAGGAGCAACGACTAAAATGGATTGCAGATATAACTCAAAGAGTTCACATTACTTCAAACAAAATTTCAGAAAAGAAACCCCCATCAATACTGGCAAGAGCAATAACAGTTTATGGACTTGAAAAATTTATTTTCTTGATAAATTGTTTTAATAGAAAGGTTTTATAAATTACAGGTAACAGTAATATTCATCATCTAATGTATAATAATATATAATATATTATATTATACAATATGAAATATATAATATATAACATAATATGTCATCTAGTGCATAATATTATATAATATATAATATAAAATATATAATATTTCATATAATATATAATATAATATATTATAGAGCATGATGTATTATCTAATGTATCATATTATAAAATATATATTATATAACACATAATATATTATATAATATAATATAAAATATATAAATAATATATAATATAAAGTATCATATATTACATAACATATTATAAATATAATATATAATATATCTAATATATCACCTAATATATAATAACATATATTGTATTATATAATATAAAATATATAATATATGTATTATAATATATAATATAATAAATAATATAGTAGAATATATATTATATAATACTATATATATGCATATATGACCGAACGAGAGCCTAAAGGATTAAAGTGTTGATTAGTCACCTTGAGTTCAGTCCCTAAGTCTGGTAATATGGATATACTCAGTGCAACAGAATAAACAATAACTGAGCAATACTAAAAAAACAATTGAAAGCTAAGCAAAGTATTAAGAAATGGGAAAAGCTTGTTAGAAACAAAAATGTGTACTGAACTGTTGCATAATATTGGTCCTCCTGTATTGTAGTAAATGCTGGACAATCTCATCACAGATGAAGAGACTTGAGAAACAGAAATGTGGTTCTACAGAAGGATGCTGAGAACATCATGAATTGAACATGACAGATCTTTAAACAAAATGGAAACAAAAAGGACACTTATATAGGGATATCTTGGTTTAATTGGCTTAAGTCATTTCAAGGTAAGTCATTTTCAAAGATATGTTGGTTTTTCTTAAATATTTTTGGAAAAATAAAACTTGCCATAGGTCATTTTGCTCAAGTTTACATTGCCCGGTAAAGATATTAGTAATGTTAAAACAGTAAAATAACAATAAATACGTATAAAATCATATTTCAATAAATTTAAAAATAATATTATGTATACTGTGTATATATATATATATATGTATACTGTGTATATATATATATATGTATACTACTGTATATATATATATATATATATATATATATATATATATATATATATATGTTGACAGGAGTTTGAAATAAGAACATCTGCTGAACATATTTTGTTATGCTAATTTTTTATTTTTAATGATTTTATATATATATATATATATATATATATATATATATATATATCATTAAAATCATTAATTTTTATTTTTTTTGTTTTTAATGATTTTATGATATATATATCATAAAATCATTAAAAACAAAAAAATTAGCATAATAAAATATGTTCAGCAGATGTTCTTATTTCAAACTCCTGTCAACAGGCAGCACTCGTGTTGTTTTCCACTCCAACACCAATTTTGAATTCAGACTTGTTTACATTCTTTCAATTACGCTTCAATTGTGATTTAGAATACATTTTGCTCATGTCGCTAAAGAAAATTCCCAGTGCAAATATTAATTTTTTACATTATTCATCCTTGTCGCCATATTTATTACAACGTATCAGCCGTTGTACACTCTGGCCTTCTTCAGGTAGTTGGAATGTCAAACTGAACCTGCTCTAGTTCCACGTGCCATGTTTAATGGATGTCATTTATCTCCTGTTAATTTCCCTCTGAAAGTTCTCCACTACCTTAACCAGGTATCAAACTCACACCCTTTGGGTCTTGTCACTGGATCTAACTAACGCCTTATCCACTGTGCCATGTGTCCTTGGGAACAACTGTGGATGAATTTCTGCATATTATAAACCTAATGTATTCAACCATTTTTTGCCAGTGATCATATTGCAATTTTTGCTGTGATCATTTCATGTTTTTACCAGAGCTCATATTGCAATTTTTGTTGTTATTATCACTTTTTCTCTGGCATTCCTTATTACTGGTTCCCATATTGTATTCATTTCTATGTTTGGTCGGCTCAGGAGATTTTTGTGGCCTAGCATATGTACTGTTTTCTTAAGTTTATGAATTTTCCAATGGTGTTTTCTCTCTATGATCTCAACCTGATCCCACAGAGGGCAGTGATCTCCCTTCTCTCTCCATATACGATCAGCCACACCTGATTTTTCCACTTCCCCTTGTGTTACAGCTTTCTGGTGTTCTTGAAGCCTTACCTTATGGGGGCAGCCTGTCTCTCCTTTATATTTCTTTCTGCAGCTGCACAGGATAACATACACACAGTCTTTAGTCATGTTCTCCTCCTACTTCTCTTACTGAGAGATATACACACAGTCTTTTAGTCATGTTTTCTCTCCCCCTTCACATAAGGCAGGCAGACTGTTTTTTTTGGGTTGTCTTACCCAGGAGTTTTTTTTGGGCTATCTGGGTAGTTGTTATGTTGTAGTGTACTACTTATACGACCAATTCACGTATCTAATGTCTCTTTTGAAAATTGTTCTGAAACATTCAGCATAAACTGGACCACAAATCCTTATTTTAAAAACATTTTTTAAGTTTTCTCTGTTAACCCCTTCCAGTATTGATAAGGTTCCTTCTTAACCTTTTTGTTTGAAATAGTGGACTGTTTTTTGAGTTACATGTGTTGTTGTTGCCTCTCAAGTCTGTTATTTGTTAAATTTCTTTATGATTGTGTAATCCCAGTCTATATTCCAGTTTTTAAGACTTGCAGGCTGCTTCACCCAAAGCCATTTTGTATATAATATTCCATACTGTTTTCAGGGGTGAAGTTGTTTTAAACTTCAATTTCAGTTTGTTGTGTTTCACGAATGCCATTGGGAAAGGCTTATTTCTCCCTGTATTCTATATAGTACCAAATTCTG